GGGGGGGGGATCCCAACACCTCCCCTCTGACACCCTTTGAAATATTTCCATTGCCCCCAAATCTATCTTACTAAAGTGGATCTTGAAAAATGCAAGAGTGAGACCTATAGATTACACTATACACTCATTGTACAATGGATATGATTTATAGCGACAAAAACACTAAAGGGCTACAATGGATCCAGTATATCCATGTTTAACTTATTCTTGGTCACACCCACCCAAGACTACAATGGCCATTGACTTGGAAGAAAGAAGGAATTTAATATAGATTTAGGGAGGTTATTTATATCTAAACATTAAATACTATAAGCTGGGAATCAGAGATGGTCATAAGGGAATCCAAGAAGTCAAGATGTCAAGATCTCAGATGTCAAGGGAGTCCAAGAAGTCAAGATCTCCCAACCATGAGATCAAAGTGCCATTCCTTCCTTCCTTCCTTCCTTCCTTCCTTCCTTCCTTCCTTCCTTCCTTCCTTTTTACATAGGTTGCACTGCCTTATGAAGTGGGATGGTCATGGAATTGCAGAGTTGAAAGTTGCTAAAGAGATCATCTTGTCTATCCTCTTGCTCAGTGGTGAGTCTGCTGCAGCACTGTTTCTCAACCTTGGCAACTTTAAGATGTGTGGACTTCAACTGCCAGAATTCCCCAGCCAGCAAGGCTGGCTGGAGAATTCTGGGAATTGAAGTCCACACATCTTAAACTGCCAAGGTTGGGAAACACTGTACTAGAGCATCTCTCAGAAATGACCATCCAGTGACCATTTGAAGACCTCCACTGCTTCATGTGGCAGCCTGTTCCACAGTTTATACAATCCTGGTGTCTAGCCTGAACTTCCTTCCTTCTAATTTTAACCCACTGGTTCTGGACCTGCCTTTGGGGACAATAAAGGATAGGTCCACTCCTTCTGTGCAATACCCAGATCCCTTTCTCATCTACTACTGCCAAGTCCTGTTCTCTTTACCAGAGGTCTGCCAACAGAGGCTCTATAGACATCTGGCCACCGTGTTTGAGCAGCTCCTGCAGTGGGCAGGAAGTTGGACTAGATGACCTCTGAGGTGCATTCCCATTCTAGGATTCTAACAACAACTGAACATTCACAGCCACTGAACTGAACAGTGCTTCCTATCACTCAGACCTCTGTTCTGACCCAGCCCAGCAATTCTATCTGCACTGAACAGAGAGTAGATGTTATTTAGGTGTTTATTTATTAACCTATTTGTATACAGCCTTCACCCAAACCTTGAGGTGGCTCATCCTATCATAAAAACAATGAAACACAACTATCCAGAGAATTGCAGCAAACATTCCTCAGCCATCAGCTGACCATAAAACCAACATTAAACACCAGAAGTTCCTTGGCCAACTGCCCCTACTTTTTGTGACACCTTATGCCCACAAAACTCCATGAAAAAGAAGCCTCTTATTTCTGAAAGTTAATCGGGAAGGAGCCATTTCAGCCTAAAAAAAAAAAAAAGGTGGGGGGGAGCCATTCCAGAATAAAGGATCTGCAACCGCAGCTCAAACAAGTTGTCTGTATATCTGATAGGTGGCCATGAAGTTCCAGGGAGCCCACAGATTTTGGCAGGGATGCTAAGAGTTAAATGACAGGAGTCAAAGTTAGAACAGAAAAAGAGTTTGATTCGTGGCAGCAGAACATCCCATCGGAATCAAGTCAGGAACGCTACGGAAGCTCTTCTTTGTGCAAAGAATTCCAAGGACAGACCAACCTTCTTTAGTCAACATCTGGGTTTACACTTCTCATTCAACCCTAACATGGTTTAGTTCTTCAGGCGTCTTGCATAACATGGGGACACATTGCCTATGGCTTTGCATTACAGGTAACCCAAGCTGTGGGGGGAAAAAAATCTCCCTCCTGCCTGGGGACAACACAGACACATTGATGTAGTTTTTCTCAGCTGCATTATGTGTCATGGCCTTTTCAGCTTTCTAGTCTAGCCTAGCCTCTCAGGATTTCCTCATGGTCCCCCATCAAAGTACTAACCAGATCTGGCTAGGCTTAACATTTTCAAGATAAGCCAATGTCCTGACTGAGCACTATGGAAATGCAACCAAAGTTACTCATTGAGGATGAAGTCCTGTCAATTAAAGGGAGGAGCAGGTCATTCTTGAGAGAAGATTAAGCCTTATCACATTAATGTGGCCATTTGAGCAATTTGCAGATCAATGGAGCTCTCCCCTGGGAGCGAATCTAGCCTTACAATGCGTTATAAGCTGTCCTAAGACATCTCACTCTGCCTTTTTTGTTGTTGTTCAGTTGTTCAGTTGTGTTGGACTCTTCCTGACCCCATCACTCTGCCTACTTAGGAACAAAATCTCAGTTGTACTGACATTGTACAAAAAATGTGGTGCTGAAATTGGTCCTTTCCGCAAAGGATGAAATCAACCCCCCCTTTTAAATCGAACCTTGAAGTTCAGCGACTCATAGATTCAACACCCTTGAAATTCTAATATTGTTTTCCTCCTCCCTTATAACACCACTCAAATTATTTTTGAAACTGCAAAGGTGCTATTTTCACTGATGGGCAGTTCCAATTGGTGGAAAATGTATGCATTTCCTTGCTGGATCTCAACTAAAATCTCAAAGCAGATCCTGAAAACCCCAAAACTCCTAAACTAGCCTCAGAATCCCACTCCATCTTTAAATTCCCACTTCTAAAATCCTAGAACGCTCAGAGTTCAAATTCTGCCTCTGTTAGATTATAGTAAAAAGAGAGAAACGTTGCACCATGGAGGCAAGACACAGAGAAGCAGTGTTCGGACAACAAGGTTACTCATGTTTAATCTAATCATGGCTTGTTTCATCAAAGCCGTTTTCAAGGTTAAGCCTCTTGTGCCCCCGCAGCCAGCCTGTGGCAAATCAAGGATCATGCACGATAAAGGAAGCAGCGAATCTGGATTCTTGGAATACTGGGGACTAAAATATGACTGACTAGTCCGGGTCTCAATATTTCCTGAGAGCCAAAAAGATGCGCTCCTGAGCTCGTGGGAGAAAAGTCGGGTTGAAGAGCGGCCTCGAAGAAAAGTTTTCCAGGCGCAAAAGGAGACTTGCAAAACAGATCCAAAGCTTCTGGAAGCGGGGTGGGGGGATCTAAACACACTTCAAGCTATTTTAGCAAATTAACCAACTCAGAAATTACCCTTTCAATTGATGAAAATTGGGGGACAGGTCTATTTTTATCCCCCCCCACAAGATTAGGTATGAAATATTTATTAAAGATGCAGGATAATTTTTTTTTTTCCGTTGGAAAAGAGAAGAACCCTCCCCGGCAACTACAGAAGCGGACTTTTCAAACTTTTGCTCGGAATACGCTCAGGGGGGAAGGAAGGGAGCAGCGGCCGAGCCGCATTCAAACGAGGCACCCAAAATGCCCGGCCCGGATCTCTCGGGAAAAGAAATGAAAACGACGAAATCGACCAGGACTTTAAGCGTGCGCCCCTTATTTGGGGGGAGGGGAAGACCGGAGTAGAGGACCAACGAATTAAATAAATGCCGACCGCAAACCGGAGTTCAGTCTTACAGAGGCTTCTTGAAGGGAGTAAAATAAATAAATAAATCAGAATTCTGTAATTAAGTTCTCCGAGTTCGGAGTGGACTTTTTCCCGAGTAAGCGCAGGCCTGAATTGCCTACGAGTTAAACCGAAGGCAATTTGCTTCCGAGTAAAAGGCGCAGCTCAAGCAGCCGGGTTATAACAGGAAGTACAATTTCTCTTGAAGTCAGCGGAAATACTTTTTTATCATTTAACGGCTCCTTTGCTCGATTTCGGTGTGTGTTTGTTTTTTTAAATGCCCAGTACATTTTCAGACTCCTTAGAATCAACTTAGGGCTGATTTCAGGCGCGCATCCATTGGACTCTATTGGCCGGTAGGAATTTTTTTGTTGCTGGGGGTAAAAAAAAAATTTAAAAATAGGCCCGCTCCACGGTTTCTCCGCAGGCATTTGGGGTCTAAAAAAGAGGGCACAGGTTTGCAGCTTCCGCGCTTTGCTTAGGAGTAAAAACGCTGGAAGCGAAGACAACGCTGAGCGCCAAAGGAAGGGTTGTTTTCGTAGGATCGGGGCGCAAGATAAATAAGAAAATAAGCATAAAAAGACTGGAGAGTCATTCTTTTGCAAGACCCGTTCAAGAAGGAAGGGGGAAAAAATCTTCCAGACCAACCTTTTGATAAAAGTTAGGGAGGGAGGAAGGGAAGAAAGGAAAGGGGGGGGGAACCTTTCCCAACTCTTGCAAGAAAACATTATCTTAACAAGATTGGGCGTTTAAAAGGAAGGTGGGGGAGAAGAGGGGGAATTTAATCAGCAGACCCGTAAATCACCCACGCGGTTATCAATAGTCGTTGCAAAGCTGGTCTCTCTCTCTCTCTCGGCCCCCCCCCCCCTCTTTCTTTCTAGCTTCTCCAAGTGCGACATTATCTGGTAGATAAGCCCAGCCGAAGACGAGATAAGTTGGCTACAGAGGGAAGGAGGATTAAAAAAAAAAAATACTTACGTTGTAACAGACCAGGAGGAAAAAATCGCATGACGCGGGAGGGTCAAAGGCAAAAATAATCCTAATTGCAAAAAAAAAAAGCAATCCGAAAGGAAAACCCCGGTGCAAAAAAAAAAAAAAAAAAAAAAAA